GCCCACCCTCCCCTCCCTTGCCACAGGTGACAATGGATCAACTTGACTGCTCACTGTTGTGTTCCAAGGCTTACCATTGGCTTCTGGCTGAGTCTGAGAGGGCACGGCTACGTAGGGGTCCTCCCCTTTGTCTGAGCTCATGGGGGGGTCCTTCCGCTCAACCATGCGGCCCCGCCCCAGGGGGACCTCGGCGGCCTCGGGTAGGGCCGAGGTGGGCAGTGAGAGGGTGTGAGGATGGTGGCGGTGATGGTGGCCTGCCGGACACAACACAGGTTAACTAAGGCTCCGGGCACACAGGGACAGGCTTCAGTGCATGTGAGCACAGGCCAGCAGGGGGGCACGCACACACTCAAACACACACACACACACACACACACATTTTCCTACTTTGAAGACTACATTGACACCGACACTCATGCACAAACACACACAAGGACAGCGGCTGGGCTGTGTGAGGCAACAAAGTGTTTTTCCTTGGTGACCCTGGGCAACTCATTAGCAAATGTGTGTGTGTATGTGTGTGTTTCTTAGGATAGATGTGTCCTTTCTTTTTTTCTGTCTCTCTGCCTGCCTCGTTCTCTTCCCTCCTGCTCTGACTGACATGTCAAAGCTCTGCTGGGCCTGTCAGAGCAGTGCAGAGTACAATCACATTGCTCCACAGTCACCATAGGGTGCCTACCTCTGAAGGACAAGAGACAAACTTTCTTTCCAACGCTCGTTTTTAAGAAGTCTTTCTGTAACTTTTCTCCAACAGTAGAGCTCTGATTCCCTGCCCCATTTCTCAATCTTTCTGTTACTTTGAGTTTCACTTTTTCAATCAGTTATGTAGCTGTTTTCAGTTTGTTTGATATATACAGATACATTCAATTCATTAATGTTTGCGTTAAAGATGATACAAATTGTCCAAAGAAAGAAAGGCAAAACCCTAGACCCACGACGGACCGTGGCGATGTCTGTTACTGCATAGTGCCCTCGGTATGGATTTTTATATTAAAGGTCCCATGTCCTGCTTTTCCGGTTATTACCCGCCCCCTTGTGTGTTATGTAGCTTTTTATGCATATAAACGGTCTGCAAAGTCACAGGGGGGG